AACTGAGCACAAAATACATGCAGGACCAGCCGGTGTGCTAAGAAGGTCACTGCATTCGTGATGCAACAAACACGTCATTTTTAGTGTGCTCCCAAAATTAAATAAAGCCAAGAGAGAACCGTTCCATACAAATAAGCTGCTTCTTAGTTTCTCTCAAAAAAAAAAAGAAGCAGATGCATAAGAATATTCATAAACAAAAAATACTAAAAGAAAAACATTGAGCACAGCTAACAGTATTGTCGCAGCAAGGCACGTGGAGGTTTGTGGAGCGTGTGCCCCCCTTAAGGAACTCCAGGCTCTCAAGAGCAGAGACAGCAGCCACTCCCCATGCAGGGTGCCAGCAGAGTGCCTCTTGCAGGGATTCACACCAGCAAGAAGCCAGAATGTTGTTTCTTTTCCCTTTTCTAAAAAGCACATTATTCTCCCTAATGCCCTCAGGAAAAGTCTTTTGTACCTCCTTCACATAGCACTGTGCTTCAAAAAATACTTGAGGACAAATATCAGCACTTCTCTCAGTTTTTCTGTATTATTCCAGCAGGAAAAATAAATTTTTAAAGAAAGAGACCCTAGCAAATAGCTATTCTCTCACTGTCCTCTGCCTCCTCCATCACCACAGGATGTTTGGTCCCAATGCTGCAAGCATCACTCCCACGCCAAGGGTAGCGACAGCAAACGCGACTCACAGGCTGTAACAGCAGACCACCATCCCAGGAGTTGGTATCTCCTTTCACCAAGTCACCAACCAGTGGACTGAATTTGCACAATTACAAAACAACTTTTCAAAATAACTTTTTCCAATTATTTTCCCCATAGTCCTTCCCAAGGTACTACTCACCTCTCTCCTCTCCTCTGATGGGAATTGCCCCAGGCAGCCTTCTCCTCAGCCAAAGGGATACTCTGAGGCTATGCGACAGCCTGGCAAGCCCCAGGAGCCAGCAGTGGCTATCTTCTCTGGCCACTGGAGCCTCATTAGCATTTACAAAGTGCTAGCATCTGACATTAGGCGAATAAAATAAAGTGCAGTAGGGCAACTG